AATTAGAACTGTTCACTACTCATGTTGAATGCCAGCAATTGACTTTGAGCATTTGCACAAATTTTCCTTTTTAAAGCTCGTTGAGATAATATTAATGATTCTAGATACTGTGGTGATTGGTTCCATACATCTGATGACTGTGATGCTGAGTTGTAACGTTGAATTGTCCTATGTGCCATATCGTCATCAAATCCAGTTAAGGAAAGTTTACGCTTTCGACTATTTTGAACTTGTTGCTGCGATGATCCCTCATTTTTGTTTTTGATATACATTATTCAGGCTGTTCTCGTCCTATCTATCATAGCTTTCAGATGAAATTCAATCTTTGCAGATGCTGCTAGTGTCCGATTCCTTGCTCTTCTTTTCCGCTTTTTTGTCATCCAGCTTCTTCTTGATTATTGTCAGGTTCCTCAGATTCTCCTAAAATGAAATTAAATTTGAAAATAAGATTGAGTAAAATTAAATTAAAATTTTCATTTTGTTGTGCAAAACGTTTGCACTCTAAGGACCCAAAAAAAAAATTGTGCAGGACGGTGGGGCATTTTCTCTTTTGAAAGGTACAGAAATGAAAATAATACATAAAAAAAATTAATTTTAAAATAATACCTTGATTTTGTGTAAAGTCCCAGCCTTCAGCGATGCATTCTCATCCTATCGTACCATACTTTCAAACATAGCCCATGGAAGTATTGAACCTATTCTAGAGAAAAAAGGAAGAAAAAAATTAAGTACAAAACCAGAAAATGCAAATTAAGTTTACACCTCAGTCCAGTTTCAACAAATTGATGAAAATTAGTACTCTTAGAATTAGAACTGTTCACTACTCATGTTGAATGCCAGCAATTGACTTTGACCATTTGCACAAATTTTCCTTTTTAAAGCTCGTTGAGATAATATTAATGATTCTATCTGATGACTGTGATGCTGAGTTGTAACGTTGAATTGTCCTATGTGCCATATCGTCATCAAATCCAGTTAACGAAAGTTTACGCTTTCGACTATTTTGAACTTGTTGCTGCGATGATCCCTCATTTTTGTTTTTGATATACATTATTCAGGCTGTTCTCGTCCTATATATCATAGCTTTCAGATGAAATTCAATCTTTGCAGATGCTGCTAGTGTCCGATTCCTTGCTCTTCTTTTCCGCTTTTTTGTCATCCAGCTTCTTCTTGATTATTGTCAGGTTCCTCAGATTCTCCTAAAATTAAATGAAATTTGAAAACAAGATTGATTAAAATTAAATTAAAATTTTCATTTTGTTGAGCAAAACGTTTGCACTCTAAGGACCCAAAAAAAAAAAATTGTGCAGGACGGTGGGGCATTTTCTCTTTTGAAAGGTACAGAAATGAAAATAATACATAAAATAAATTAATTTTAAAATAATACCTTGATTTTGTGTAAAGTCCCAGCCTTCAGCGATGCATTCTCATCCTATCGTACCATACTTTCAAACATAGCCCATGGAAGTATTGAACCTATTCTAGAAAAAAAAGGAAGAAAAAAATTAAGTACAAAACCAGAAAATGCAAATTAAGTTTACACCTCAGTCCAGTTTCAACAAATTGATGAAAATTAGTACTCTTAAATTAGAACTGTTCACTACTCATGTTGAATGCCAGCAATTGACTTTGAGCATTTGCACAAATTTTCCTTTTTAAAGCTCGTTGAGATAATATTAATGATTCTAGATACTGTGGTGATTGGCTCCATACATCTGATGACTGTGATGCTGAATTGTAACGTTGAATTGTCCTATGTGCCACATCGTCATCAAATCCAGTTAAGGAAAGTTTACGCTTTCGACTTTTTTGAACTTGTTGCTGCGATGATCCCTCATTTTTGTTTTTGATATACATTATTCAGGCTGTTCTCGTCCTATCTATCATAGGTCTCAGATGAAATTCAATCTTTGCAGATGCTGCTAGTGTCCGATTCCTTGCTCTTCTTTTCCGCTTTTTTGTCATCCAGCTTCTTCTTGATTATTGTCAGGTTCCTCAGATTCTCCTAAAATGAAATGAAATTTGAAAATAAGATTGATTAAAATTAAATTAAAATTTTCATTTTGTTGAGCAAAACGTTTGCACTCTAAGGACCCAAAAAAAAAATTGTGCAGGACGGTGGGGCATTTTCTTTTTTGAAAGGTACAGAAATGAAAATAATATATAAAATAAATTAATTTTAAAATAATACCTTGATTTTGTGTAAAGTCCCAGCCTTCAGCGATGCATTCTCATCCTATCGTACCATACTTTCAAACATAGCCCATGGAAGTATTGAACCTATTCTACAGAAAAAAAGGAAGAAAAAAATTAAGTACAAAACCAGAAAATGCAAATTAAGTTTACACCTCAGTCCAGTTTCAACAAATTGATGAAAATTAGTACTCTTAAATTAGAACTGTTCACTACTCATGTTGAATGCCAGCAATTGACTTTGACCATTTGCACAAATTTTCTTTTTTAAAGCTCGTTTAGATAATATTAATGATTCTAGATACTGTGGTGATTGGTTCCATACATCTGATGACTGTGATGCTGAATTGTAACGTTGAATTGTCCTATGTGCCACATCGTCATCAAATCCAGTTAAGGAAAGTTTACGCTTTCGACTATTTTGAACTTGTTGTTGCGATGATCCCTCCTTTCTGTTTTTGATACACATTATCCATGCTGTTCTCGTCCTAGCTATTGTAGTTCTCAGATGCAATCCAATCTTCTCAGAGACCGCCAGTGTCTGGTTCCTCGCTCTTGGATCTTCAGATTCTCTTTAAATGAAATGAAATTTAGAAATGAGATTACTTAATTTATTTTATATGCACAGAAATTAAAATAAACTAATTTAAAAGCAAAATACCTTCATTTTTTGATCCATGGAAGTATTAGAAATAGAACCTACTTGACAAAAGAAAAGGAAGAAAAAAATTAAGCACAAGACAAACAAAAATCCGATCCATCCGTTTCCTTGCTCTCTTCTTACAGTTCCTTGTGAAATTCTCCAGCTTCTCCTTAATTGCTGTCAGGTTCTTCAGATGCTCCATGGATTGTGTTTGAATGATATGTGATGAATCTTTATTAAAAATTTATTAGCCTATTTATAAGTATATTTTATCAAATACATGACTTACTGCAGGAACTGCAATTATTGAATTTGAAAATTGGGCTTTGGCTTCATCAAGTGAACACAAATTAATCAGCTGTGTCGTCCTCGCAAAGTTTGATTCTATTCAAACCACATCAGTTTTTGTTGTCATTGCATTTAACTACATGTATATGCTCACCCATCTCATAATTGTAGGGAGCGTTATGCACCAATTTTGTGCTTGTAGAACTTAAATTTCTTGTTAAAGAACGTCATCTTCTGAAAATGCTCCGTTGGTGATATACGCAAACTCACTAAGTTTTGAGTGATAAATTTCTTGAACTTTTGCTGATAGCAAAAGCGGCACTGCGATCGATGATCTGTTGTACCATCCCTAGTCCCCTATGCTAGAATTGCAATGTCCTTAATAAAGCCAATAATGTCCTGATAATGCTGCTTTTTTATATCTTCATCATTCAAATAGTCCTCATCAAAATGTTTGACACGTTGTCCTCGTAATGACCTACATTTACAAAGTATATGAATGATTGTTTCTTCATTCACATTACAAAACCTGCAAATTTTACTATTAGACGAATTCAATTTAAAAAGAAAACTATTGATACTCATGTGTCCTGTCAAAGCACCAATTAAGATGCTAAGGTCTTTCCCAGTCTTTCCTTGGTTGTCTGAAAGCATCCAAAATTTTATTCTTATTTTTAGGACCAATAAGTCTTTTGTCTGCCATGGCTCCTTCCTCTAAATTCCAGATACAAAAATGCTGTCTCTCCATCCATTCTCGTATGTTTGACTTCAACAAGCCAAAACCACAGTACGTCGACTTGTCATAAGCTTCCTTATGTACTGCTTCTTTAGCTAGTTGATCAGCTGTTTCATTACCTTCAATATCACTGTGTCCAGGTATCTATTTTAGGATGACTTCATTATCTTGCCCCAATGCTATTAAACAAGATATACAATCAAGAACTGTTAAAGACTTCACATCACAATTGTTTAAAGCCGTCAAAGCTGATCGACAATCTGAAAGAAAGCAAATTCTACAGCCTTTCAAATCCATATCCAAAACAGTAATTAGCACCCTCACAAATAGCTTGGACTTCTGCCTGAAAGACAGAAGCATGATTTTTCAGTTTGTAGGATGAATTCAAACTCAGATTATTGCTGAACAAACCAATGCCAACACCACTTTAAGACTTTGATGCATCAGTAAACACAAACATACAGTTATTATCCACAAAATCACAAATTTCAGCAGCATTATCTTCTGATACAACTACCTTAAAAGGTTTGTCAAAAACATATTTTGACACTATATGATCCGATTCTAAGGTAAATAAACTTACACTCCTTAGAAATCGATTTAATTCCATATGACCTGTAGAGATCCAGTCATTAACCCATAATAAATTTACCTTCAATTTGGATGCACTTGTTTGAGCTGCAGCTTCAATTCTCACTCGAAGTGGGGGTAGCTCAAGAAATCTATCTGTTGCTGCAATGATCCCTCCTTTCTTATTGCTTTTACCTTTTATATTATTTACTGTCCTCGTCTCAGTTTTCGTAGCTCGCCGATTCCTCGCTCTTTTTTCCATTTCGTTGTCATAATCACCAGCTTCTTCTTGATTGTTGGCAGGCTCTTCAGAGTCTCCTAAAATTAAATTAAATTTGAAACTATGATTAGTTAAATTATTTAAATTTTAATTTTTTTTTGTTTGCGATTATTGGAATGCTTGCAATAGCGATGCAAGTATGCAGTTATTGCATATAAAATAATTAAATTACAAATTAATTAACATATTTTTTTTGTTACCTTCCAAATTCACACATGATGGAATGAATCGCCTCCTTAAATGATTTAAGCGATGGCTTCTTATGATTCATCCAGTCTAGGTTTTCTTTCTCATTCAAGAACTCCTTCTGCTTCATTTCCTACGATTGTAGTTTCTTCAATGATTGGAATTTCTTCGAAAATATCATTGACAATTCTTTGGACTGTATGGTCAATGGGATTACATGTAATGATTTCCTAAAAAATTGAACATTGTTTTTGGTTTAAGTTAAAATTATGTAGCGTCTGGTTTTTTCCGCTGACACCGACAGAAAAAAAAAGACTGAGCAATTGAAAATATAGGATGCAGGATAATTCCTTATAGGCTGTTTTTTTTTCAATTTTGCCCCATAGTAATCATGACTGAACAACAAACGCAGATAGCCAAAATAAGACTTTGAATAAGGTGAACTCAGAAAGTCATGAAGTGGGTATCAATAAATAAACAACTATTACTAAAAAGAAACAAAAGTATCGATAACTTACAATGACTTCGTAGAGCTGGAGACAAATTTGGTATTCATCTTGACAAAGTCGTAATTGTAAACGGCTCATAAAGTTGTTAAGCAATCTTTGGTATGAATTCTAAAAAGAGGAATTGAAAAATCATGAAAAAAATTAATCAAAACTACTTCCTCTTTCCTTTTAAAAGAGTTTCGGATATCATGCCTATTGAATGAATCAATGGTGTTAAAAGTAATTTACTTGAAGTTTATATTCCACTCTTAAAGGTCTAAGAATCAAATAAGGTCTTTAAATCAACTGAATTAAATTCGCATGGGAAATGTCACCCAGGAGCTATTAGAGCATATGAAAGATAATTCATATATAAATTCCAAAGACTTACCATAATATGAAGATCTCGATAATTGGACTCCATTATAGCTAAATTAGTTGATGATATTTTCTTTGCATAAAACAGAATTAAATTTTTGCTCAGTAATTTTGTTGATGATTATTTTTGATGGTGATGATTCTCTTGATGGATGATGACAATCTGGACAATGATTATCTCGATGGTTGATTAAAATCAGGATGATGATTATCTCGATAATATTTTTGTTGAAATTTTCTTTCGTTGAAACAATATTTCTGTAAGAAGAAAATTTTTCAATGATTGCTGACTTTTTTTTCTCGTATTTTCAATATGAATAATAAAGGTAATTATTCAATCATACGCTAGATTTATTCAAACTTAAATAATATCAAAAGGCTTAGAACATATCTGGTAGTGAAAAGCATATCTATTGGTGCTGTATCACTTTATTTGTGTAAATTTTGATGTCTTAAAAACAAATTGTTTTAGAATATATGTAGATGGATGAAACTCGTGAACAGTCACAGAATTGATTACAGATCATTTATAAAAGCCTATCCTCAATTTTTTCATCTCATAACTTGTAGCCAATAATTAAAACAATAAAACATAAAAAATCATTTACAGAATTAAGTTTAATATTATTCATATTATGACAGGAATTTATCATTTGTCAACGGAATTCAATTTTACTTTTTCTGTATACTTATTTCATCATTGATGAGATTTAAAGGCAAGAAATCTTCTTTTACTTCTTCACTCATAGAAAAAAAGTAACCATAATATTTGTTATATGTTTGTTAAACTAGTTTAACAAATTATTGGTTAAGTTTACATGGGTAAAAAAAATTTCAACCAAACTATTTGTTAAAAATTTTACAATTGAGTTTGTTAAATCAACAAATTTATTTGTTAATAATTGATTTAATTAAATTTTAATTTTTGTATTCAAAACTCTTGTTTGATTAATTTCAAACGATTCCCATTAATTTATTGCGTTATTTTTAATGAGAAAACTGCTTTAAATTGAATTTTGTTGATTTTGTTTAACAAATTAATTTGTTAATTTTAACAAAACATTTGTTACAATGTTTTTATTTGTAATTTGTTTTGGAAAATAATGATTTACAAACCAAATCGTAATTTAAAAATTAAATTTGTTCATTTTTTTAAGTCCTACATTTCTATTTTATTATTCATAAATTAATTTTAAAATTTGGATATATTTTTTAAAGAATTATTTATATTGGTTCTGAATCAAATTTTATAAGTAAAAGTTTACAAGCAGCGGACTAGCGGATCATCAACAGGAATTCAGAAGTTAAGCAACCACGGAAACATTTTAAAATAAGATGGGTGACCAAATTAACAATTTTCTGGTTAATATTAACCGAAAATTTGTTATTTTTTTCTGTAAAAAAAAATTTTAACAAAAAGTTTGTTAAATTAACAATTTTTATAGTTAACAATTCAACTTAACAAATAATTTGGTTAAATTTAACAAATAAGTTCGTAAACACTATTTTAACGAATTGTTTGTTAACATTTTCCATACAAGTTACAAACATTTTGTTACTTTTTTTCTATGAGTGTTAATCCATTTTTATGTAAAGATTTTTTACATTGTTTTTATAACCATAACAAATTTAACCGTAAATTTAATGGAAAACCTTTCAGAAAAATTGAGTTGGTAAGGATAAAAATGATTTGAGGTTTAACATCCTCTAAAATATATTTGTGCATGTTAGCTAAAATATGTGTGTATGGATTTGTGCACATACGAAGCCACAAGTTCGATTTCTTCTTCAACTTTTCACTTACAAAAGGTAACCTATAAATTATTAAGACATAGACGATATAAAAACGAATGTTGTGTACTTGCGATTTTCCAAAAGTTTTTCTGTTGTGTCACATTTTTAACCATTGGGGAATAGCAAGTAATATGGTGATAAAAATAAGAACTGTAAAGAGCAAAAAAAAAGATTCTGTCTTTAAAAGGATTTTAAATGCACATGCTTACGAGTTGTGTTACGGACGACTGCTTAGAAGAAAAGAAAAACTTTCTAAGAAGTCACCGTGTCAAGGATGAATGGCTCGCCTTTTTTAGTACAGTGAATTAAGCACTGTGTTGATTGAAAAATCAGTAATAGTAAATTGAAAGCTTTATTATTATTATGATGGCATTATTGTTTAAAATTGCTTCAAATTAACTCTAAAGTGTAAAAGGCATATCAACACAGTATGACTTATAAGAAAAACTGCAACCTACAATTTAGATTTGTAAAACCAAAAGCATGAATCAATCAATCTTCATTATGTAGTAAAGTTGGAATATAGATTTTTGACATTCTCTCAAATCAATAAAGTTATCATCAACAAACTGTTTAACTAAAACAATACTCATAAAGGAAACCGTCATAAAGAATCAGCATGTTTCTTTTGTCTATAAAAAAAAAGTGAAACTTTGAATTTGAAATTAAATTCCTTCGAGACTTGTTCAGTTCTTCAGTTTTTGCTTTTTGTGTAATTGATGAGAAGATTGCTGGCAATAAAAGCGAGATGATACGAGCAGTGGAAATGTGAGTGACTTGATATACTATAATCACTTTGTGAGTTTTACTGCTTCGAATTTCCTGTTGTAAAATAAATATTACAGTAGTGAATTTAATGATTTCTTGCATGTTTAGAAGTTACACGAGAACTTAAGTCTTCCTTATACGACATTAAAGATATGTTTAAAGTAATTTTAAAATCAATTTTCTTCCTTTCATGCTTCCTTGATTTATCTCGATACAGAGACGAGAATATCAGCATATATCGAATGAAAAAAAATTCGATTCCCTTTTTCCGCTTCACTTTTCTGATTTTTCTTCAAACATAATTCTTCTTTTTTTAAACACATGCAAATTATGCTATAATAAAGCTTTATTTGTGCCTTAAGTAATCGTAAAAGTAAAAAGATGACGCATTTTCTTTTCTTTTGCATTATATCTTAAAAAGTATAAATAATGATTGATTTTATAACATCTTTCATTCAATTGATGTGAAGCTATAAGTCGATAGAATTATTCGTTTAAAGATGAGTAAATTTTCCACAAGAATTGAGCTGATATGAAATATATTTTCTTGTAATTTTTGATAAGCCTTGAATAAATGTCTGCTAAACTAACTTTAAAGCATTAGTTGAAGATGCAACTGAAATGAATAGAGATACTTCAGTACAGTTCTCTTATCTGAAATATATTCGAATAGTTAAAAAATTTCTCAGACAGTTCTAGTGCCTTAATAACTACATCAAAAATATCTTTAATGTAAACAACCTCAACAAGCAGCTTCAAATTATCATTAGGGTTGATTTTCACATGCATAATAACTAAAACAAATTTTATCTTCACATCTCAATATTTTCATAAAATAATATATCAATGACAATCCCTCATTATCCTTAAACCAACAAACCGAATTAGTTGTGTATTTTCTTCTTCTTAATATGCATATTCATGTCCATATATCCATGAGAAAGTAAAGAGGAAGAAAGTAACATGTCATATGAAAATAATAAAAGTAATTCGTCTTTGTGATTTAGTGCCATTACTTTATCGTACACACATGCTATGAATGGAGAATTTTTTTAACAAGCCAAAGTCAAAAATTAAAGGAGATTCCTAAAAAATATTTGTACAATCATCCCATACAATTTATGACCTTTTATTTTTTTCTTTTAATATTTCATCGACATTATGAAAAACTTTCTCTTTTCATTTACGATTTTTTATTTTCTCTAATGGAATTTATGCACAGGAGGACTTTTCGTTTCTATGCACATTTTATTGGAACTAGAAAAAAGACATTCTTCTTATTCCTGGGCAAATTCAAATATTGAGAGAAAAATGAAAACTTCCAGTAAACTTCGTTAAAAACTCTCTCTGGAAAATCAAAAGCTTATTTGTGCGTACAAAAGTCTATTTTATTTCACTCATTTTGCAATTTGAAGTCTTAAATTTTGATTCTCGTCAATAAGAATCTTTACTTCCTCTTCCAACTTTTCAATTTTATTTTTAAACATTTTCTCAATTTGCTCCTTGTCCAAAACAGCTTTTTCGAGCTTCTTCTTTGCAATACTCGGCAACATTAAACGTGGCGATATTCCAAGGACAGATTGCATTTCTACATTTTCTCTCTGTACTTCACGATGCTCTTGTCGTAATCGATTAAGCTCAGTGATTAATGACACATTCTCTTTAAGCAATTTAACACTATCGAATTCTGTCTTCTTTTTCGATCGTTTAGCTTGTGAATTGACTATGATTTTCTCAAAGTAATCCCTCTGTCGATAGAATTCACTTTGGACATCCAAATCGAGAGTAAGTGATTTTTGAAGCTCACTATTGTTTGAATATCGATGGAATAATTTCAGAACCTCTTCTTTCAATTTATTTGGATGTTGGATGTAGCTTGACACTTCATAAATATCAGCACAGACTCTCATTAAGTGCTTCCTAGCATTCTTTGCTCTTACACGTTCAATTGTTAGCTCCTTTTCGGCTCCATAATATTTATCTTTCAATTCCGATAGCTTCAAACCAGCATGTAAGTGTGTTTGTTGGAGTGTCTTTAATTCTCGTTCCATTTCGAAAATTCGTTCCTTTTTTTCACGAATCTCTGCCTCGCGTGGCTCAATTTCCATTTTTAATTCATTCATTTTATGCGATAATGCTTGCTTAAATTTCTCGAGCTCTTGCGTGCGTCTATTTAAATCACTAAGCATTTTATCTTTGCCTTTAATGACTGTATCACGATTATGAAGATCTCTTTTCAAATCATCAATTTCCTTCTCATTATGCTTAATCATTTCTTGAAATCTCTCTTGTTGTGAATTAAGCAGTTCTATTTCCTTACGTTGTTCATCACATTCTTTACTGATTGTTGAATTTTTCTTCTTCAATACGCCAGCGTCGCCTCGCCAACGACCAATTACTTCGTCGCTATCCTTCAAACGCTTTTCGTAACTCAATTGAGATTCGACCATGTTGCGATCATCTATTTTTAAGACATAATTGATTTAATTAAATTTGTAATATAATCCGAGAATACGATACTTACGATCTATCTCTACTTGACGACAATACTCTTCAAACTCCTTCTCTTTGTCCTTCATTTCCTTTAATAAACGTTCAATGTTCTCTTGACATTCATCAAGTTGTTTTCTGAAGTTTTTCTCCAATTTCTCTGTGAAATATATAATAATAACATGACATGATATAAACCAATCTTCAATGTCACATCTTACCAATAGAATCTTGTGTACAAGCTACAGACTTCCTCAATTTGTCCTCATATTCTTCAATGATATGTTCAATCCTTGCTTGTAATGATTTTTGCTTCTCATATTCCACAATTATTTTATCATTGAAACTTGCTTCCAATTCCTCAAGTTCTCTTTGATGCTTCTCGTTTGCATTCTTAATTGTAGTCGTTAATTCATTTAATTGATCGATATGAATAGCCTTCAATGTATCATTTTGTTTCTTCAAGTCATCAAGTGCTGAACAATATTTTTCATGGACATCCCTCATCAGTTCAAAATGAGCAGTTTCGCCTTGTTGCTCTTGATACCTAAATTCAGCGATTTGCTCATCAATTCTCAATCTTAATAGATTTATTTGTTCTTCTTTAGCGACGAGTTCTGATCGTGGAATTAAAACATCTTCAACACGCCCTAAATCTGGGTCAACTTCAGCAGCACGACTCTCGACATTTGTAAGTGTCCAAAACACTAAAGTACCATCATCGCCAGCACTTATTAGCATTTTGTCATTATGAGTGATGCATAAGCGATTGATTGCTTTATGATAAAATCGATTATTGGTAAATGTACCTCCACCTGACTCCATAAATGGCATTTTAATATTAAATAAACATCCACGCTCATTTGCGGTATACATTACTTGATCGGATCTTGAAAAGGCGAGAGTTGTAAGTGGAGATTCATCAGTTGAACGAAATTCTCGTGTCATTTGTGACTTGCTTATTTCACGCAAATATGCAGACTGTGTAACACCCACAATAAAGCTCTGATCGGATGCAACAGCAATTGCTTTATATAAAGTTCCTTTTTGAACGAGTTCATTGACTCGTTCGCCTGTTACTGTATCCCATTCATAAACTGAACCCTCTTTTCCAGATGAAACCAAATATCTATCATCAGTTGACCACTCAAGACTTAAAACTTGATTATGTCCTTTTAGAGTCATGACAGTTTCAAATGTAAAGACTGAAATTATTGTAATGAGTTTTTCACATCCAATTGCAAGAAAATGTCCACGATGAGAGAATCTAAGAACAGAGCACATGGAATAATTGAATGACTTTGCAAGCTTCAAGTCCTTCAATTGAATTTGAAAGAGTCGTAAAACGTCGATAAATCCAATTGCAGCTAACATGCCAGAGGGATGAAGAGCAATAACTCGAATATCAATCAGAAATTTCTTCAGTAATTCAACCTTCATTGTATCATAATTCCATATTCTCACAGTGTAATCTTTAGATGCAGTCATTGCAATTGACTTCCATGAACAAACTGATAAGTCAATAATTGAGTCGGTGTGTAAAGGTTCGCCAAGAAACTTGAACTCAACTTGTGTCACATGAATTGTCTCAGGTGCAAACAATTTTCCAATAAATATTTGACTATGCTGAGTTGTAGCCACAATCGTGTCTTCTTGTTCATTCACCGCAATATCCTTAATCACATACAGTGACTCATCAAATAATGTGACTGGAATTGTCAGTAAAGTCTTCTTGACAAATTTGTAGGGCGTTATTCTTTGAAATACGTGTGCCATGTTGTTTGTCGCAAAAGCAAAGCCAGTCCGAAATGTTGTCAGGCACTTTATTGGGTATGTCTTTCTCGCAAGCAACTGTGCAACCGCACTCAATTCTGATTTTACACTTACTTCGTCGTTGTCTGCCTGCGTTAAATCAATTATGGTTAATTCTCGCGTGCTGTATTTTGCTTTCAATTCCCCTCCTTCCACAAAATATAAATCCATTTCAGCAGAACCGGCTATGATCATTTCGGCTGTGAGCCAAGTTAATGCTGTGACATTAATATTCTCTCCTTTTACTGTTCCCATTTGACCAAATCCCTTTTCAGTTTTATTCATAATTTTCATCATATTTTCACCACCAACCGTTACTATGGAAGCATCACCTGGATTACAGTGCAAAAGTGTTGCTCGACCAGAATAATTTGCATTTGATGCTCGTCCTGTTACCATTGAGTCTGTTTTATCAAACGTGTAAATTGTGATGAATGCGTCAGGTTCTTTGGATAATACAGCCATGCCTTTTGAGTCGCACGTAAAGCACATATTTGCAACTTCTTGAACGGGACATTCTGGTGCTAGTTGGAGTGACTTGACTCGTTTCATCTCTCCTAGCTCATAGACATTGATGGCTGTTCTAGATAGGGATGCAATTCATTACATTATTTCTTTTTTAAGAAAAAAAAAATCATTTTAATTAAAATCCCTAGTATTTATGAGAGTATGTATAAAGGAAGCTCGCAAGATGTTGACCCCAACAATTTACTTACTTGCCACTTATGGTATTAACTTCAGCGACAGCTACCAATTTCCGATTTGGACTGATGACAATAATTTTTGGATCAACATTCTCAGGCAATCTATCAAAAGTTATTCTCAGTAAGTCATTGATATAATAATTTATCTCTTTTACAATTTCGTTTACCTCAAATATTTTTGTTTGTTTGTCAAATAATTCTGAATGATTAGCACGCCAGCAGCTGGATAAATCAAATCATCACCAAGTGTGAAGTGTACATTCCCAGCAACATCATTTCGTAGACCAAAGGCTCTTTTTGGCTGAATTCCAACTGTTTTACTCAAAGCCATTTGCTTTACTTGTTTAAGTTTTGACAATTTTAATAATGCATTCATTGCTTGCGTCGATTTTTATTCGTCGTTTTTAAGTTCGTTTCCGATAAAAGCAATTTATCGTTGTATTCCTTGATTGAATTTTTATATTCTTTCATGTAAATGTCCCCTCTGTCGTTTTTTATGTCCCGAAGTAATGTATTTAATTAAAAAGAAACGAAAACCTTTGTCAAACGACCCACACAAAACTTTTAAATTATGTTTTATTGATCAAGCAACATAACACTCACCCCTACCATGCTTGAAAAGAAAGTGCAACGTATAGCAACGAATTGGAACTAGACTTTTATTTAGTGGAATTTATTCATGATTGTTTATGTATAAAGAGTCTTAACAGTCAATAATGTCAAGGAATTAATTGATTAACTTAAATACATGAGAGATGAATTGTCAATGATTAGGTATAAAAAAAGTTTATTATATGAAGCTATTTGGAGCCTAACGGAATGATGAATGAAAGATCGTCTGCAAATTCTCCCCATTCGATTCGGTTTGTTTGGAATGTCACTATCCATGATATAAGTATAACCATCCAAAATATACTTCCTATTGCTGAAAATATCACATCTGGAAGATAAGTTATGAGATCCAGTAAGTATAAAACTTAAAACATTTAAATAATTTTATTTATGTAACTTACATTTCTTTATCGCTTTTTGTTCGTCAAATGGAGCTTGTTTGAAAGCGGAATTGAAGAACCAGATAACATTAATAAGCCATACGAATGGCAGGAACAGAAATCCAACTATAAGTCATGTAAAAATTCATTAAACAGTTATGAACTGATTATTAGAGATAATATCAAGTTGTTTCCACTTACCTCTAAAATACCATTGGCAGAGATACAATTTCTTTTCATTTGGAACTCTCGTAATGTCCATTTATTGTGTTTAATTAAGCTATTTGTAATTTTTAAAATTCAGCACAAAATGTAAACAAAAGGAACAGCTGATTTCACATAGTTTTTTCCCTTCGATTTATATGTTCAACTCGTCAGTTGCAAACTAGATCTCAACGTGAACAGACGTGTTTACAAATCGCTCCGCAAATTATTCAAAAAATCTCAAAAGAAACAAAACAGAGATTACCTGAGAAGCTTTTTGTTTGCAAAAAGTTTCAAAATCTCAGATTGATTCTCAATACATCAAAATGGTAGAATCACCAACAACGTAGAAAATCTTTCTCAACATCAGCATGGACTTAATAGTTCTCAACAACAACACATCTTCAGTGAAAATTCTCAATATTTTGGAAGTTATCAGTGGAAATGTTTCACAAACAGTCGACATTGAGATGACAAATCTCAAACCAAAAAACAAACAACAATGGAGAAGTTTTTTAATGAAGCGAGTGAGGCAGAAAAACTCCCTCTAGAAGTGATAGTTCCCAGCGCTCCTTTAAAAAGAGTAGCAAACCAAAAGATGGGAACAAACCACTTTTCGAACTCCCACCAGTGAAGAAAGCTTTGTCTTCTGGAATGCCGTATCTATTTGGTCGGAACTTCAAACAGTAGAAATCACACCAGTAAAAAATGTCAAAATGACAATGAAACACAAACAAGACGACGACCAGAACTACCTCGTGTACCTAAAAAAAGATGTAGAACAAGGTGGAAATTTCCTAGAATTCCTCAGAAAAATCAAAATTGTCAGCAGTTTTAAAATTAAATGGGCTGACTACAAAAATAGACAAGCTGGACCATCTCAATGTTCTAAATGTTTGCAGTTTGGTCATGAACAAAACGGTTGTAACAAACCGTCCGTTTGCTTCAGATGCTCTGAGCAACATGACTCGAAAACGTGCCAGTATATATCGAAAGAGACCAACAAGGTTCCACTCGGAAAACTCAAATGTTTCTTCTGCGGTGAAAAACATACAGCAATTTTTACAGGTCGTAAAACGAGACAAGAAATAATAGAAAAGTGGAAATCAAAATCACAGAATGGAAACAACCGAAATCAAAACAAAACAGCAGGCCATTATTCATATGGACAACGATGAAACAATCCTCCAATACCGCATCTTCCTGAGCGATCAGCCAGAAACATTCAACATGCACCAAAACCTCAATGGAGAAAGAAGAATGTGGAACCATCAACATCTAGTACACAAAAGCCTGTTCATCAAAAACAAGTTCCAGTGAACCACAAACCAAGGAACACAAATCCTTCTCCAAATCACAAACCCTCAAATCAGGGAAATAAAAATAACTTGAACAACCAACAAAACAATAAAGAAAGGGGAAAAAATAAGATAAGAAAAAAGCAAAAGGAGCGCAATAATAACAATCAACATCAAAAACTAAAGCAAGATGTTGAGCTTATGGACTCAGAAGACATCAGTCCAACCAGTCAGACCACGAATGAAGTCTTCCCTGAACCTTCATTTAGTGTTGAGGTAGTAAATCGAAACATAACAACTAATCAACAAGCTCAAAGCACCAGCACAAGAGATAAAAACATCTCAGAAATAGAGGAATCAAAGTGCAAGTACCTTATCAGCGAGCTTCTGAAATTAATCGCCAAAAATCCAGAGTTCATTGACGAAATACTCCAAGCAATCGGCTCAAACGCCAAAAACACCGCATACAATAATGGATTGTAGACAACAAAGTATCAACGTCCTTTACTGGAATGCTAACGGCCTCACTGACAAAATGTTAGCATTACAGACTACGTAATTCATCGATTGGATCGGGTGGATAGACCAAAATGTGGTGTTGCAATCATCGTTAAAAAAAATCTAAAACATCAGCTTCAACCAAGCTACAATACAAAACTAATGAAATGCATTGGAATCAAAGTATTCATAAATGACACGGATAGTTGTCACATCCTCTCAGTCTATCTCCCAGGAGGAAGCAAAGGTTGATAAAATAACAAATCTAAGAGGAAATTACTACATTTGTGGAGACTTCAATGCAAAACATCGAGAATCGAACTGCAACGTTGCAAATAAATCAGGAAATGTCAGGAGAGTTCATGATCTAGTTTCCTGACTCGCCAACGTACTACCCAGAAGATCGAAACAAATCAGTGTCAATAATTGACCTGATGCTCTTGAATTCCAACCTCGAAACAACAGAACTTCAATGCACAGAGGCAATGAGTGATCACTACGCTGTGTATTTCCAAATCGACAGAACTGAAAATACAGTCTACAGATATGACTACAAAAATGCAAACTGAAAAAGTTCAAAGCACAAATTTCACGCCGCATCGAAGACGACATTGGAGAAAATCCTTGCAATACAGCAAAGGAGATTGAGAATCACACTAAGATTCTCTCAGAACTCATCATAGAAGCGAGGAACTCGAGTGTAAAAATGAAAAAGATTAACTTCAAATCAACTAAACTCACACTGGAGATTAAAGATCTAATCAATACAAAAAGGAGTCTTCGTCGAAGATAGCAGGGAAGCAGAGATAATCAACTCAAATCTGAATTGAATTATCTAGAGATAATACAGAGAGTTATCAATGAGAAAATAAAGAACTCAAAAACAAAAACTGGAATAAGCGTCTCTCAGAGATAGGGTTTGTGAAAAACAGCTGTTTTTGAAATACAGTCTGTTTTCGGTTTTTGATTTTTAAAAACAGCTGTTTTCCTGTTTTTCTAGAATTCAAAATGAACTGATTTATAGACTAAAAATGTGAAATATTAAGTCCTTTAAGAATTTAGCACTTTTTCTGAGCATTTTCAGTCTTCAGGCACTAAAAAACCGGTCCATTCCTGGGATGTAAAGGAACTGGGCAGTTCCAGTGTCTAATCTTACCTCTGGCTAAGAAATACAAACGTTTACCTCTTTGACATTGAAAACTTATCATAAAACGCTTTAAAGGGACTGGAAGTGACTAGTTCCTCATATGGAGCCAGATCCATTCATGCTTTATCATGTACAGCTCTACCAATATCTGCACACTTAAGCAACAAGACACAGAAAATGAAAATTCATGAACTAAACTATGGAATCATTGGTTGCTGTCATTTTTCCATTACCAGAAAGGATATCCATGATTTATGATTAATGATTTGTAATAACCATCTCAAAATTCTTAACAAATTTTCACCTTCAAGTGATTTAAAATCCTAAAAAAAATCCCCATGCAATGTGATTTAAATAATAAAAAACAAAAAAATCTTTCATGCAAAATGATTTAAATCATAAATCACAAAAAATTCTTTAATACAAAATGATTTAAATCATAAATCAAAAATAAATCACTTGGGTAAAATGATTTAAATCAAAAATCATTTTCAAATCATTTTCATGTGAGATTTAAATCAAAAAATCATTTTTTTGAACAAAATTTTAAGTCGCGTTGTTTTTGAATTTACAACCAAATTTATATGACTTTGGAAGGATGTTTTATTTGTATTTGTTTTAAGCAGTAGAATATTTAGGCAAAGTTTCAATCCATTTGGATAAACCCTCGAAGAAAAAAGTGACAAAATTGATTTGGACTAGGGTCGCCCCTAGTCCAAAATTGAAAAAGTATTTCCTACTTGGTTCTTTGCTCAAAAACATTTTAAAATGTTTTATTTGCATTTGTTTTAAGCACTAAAATATGTAGGCAAAGTTTCAATCCATTTGGATAAACCCTCGAAGAAAAAAGTGACAAAATTGATTTTGACTAGGGTCACTTTTTGAAAATGTATTTCCTACTTGGTTCTTTGCTCAAAAAAATTTTAGGATGTTTTATTTGTATTTGTTTTAAGCAGTTGAATATTTAGGCAAAGTTTCAATCCATTTGGATAAACCCTCGAAGAAAAAAGTGACAAAATTGATTTTGACTAGGGTCGCCCCTAGTCCAAAATTGAAAATGTATTTCCTACTTGGTTCTTTGCTCAAAAACATTTTAAAATGTTTTATTTGTATTTGTTTTAAGCACTAGAATATTTATGCAAAGTTTCAATCCATTTGGATAAACCCTCGAAGAAAAAAGTGACAAAATTGATTTTGACTAGGGTCGCCCTTAGTCCAAAATTGAAAATGTATTTCCTACTTGGTTCTTTGCTCAAAAAAATTTTAGGATGTTATATTTGTATTTGTTTTAAGCACTAAAATATTTATGCAAAGTTTCAATCCATTTGGATAAGCCCTCGAAGAAAAAAGTGACAAAATTGATTTTGACTAGGGTCGCCCCTAGTCCAAAATTGAAAATGTATTTCCTACTTGGTTCTTTGCTCAAAAACATTTTTAGGATGTTTTATTTGTATTTGTTTTAAGCAGTTGAATATTTATGCAAAGTTTCAATCCATTTGGATAAACCCTCGAAGAAAAAAGTGACAAAATTGATTTTGACTAGGGTCGCCCCTAGTCCAAAATTGAAAATGTATTTCCTTCTTGGTTCTTTGCTCAAAAAAATTTTAGGATGTTTTATTTGCATTTGTTTTAAGCAGTAGAATATTTAGGCAAAGTTTCAATCCATTTGGATAAACCCTCGAAGAAAAAAGTGACAAAATTGATTTTGACTAGGGTCGCCCCTAGTCCAAAATTGAAAATGTATTTCCTACTTGGTTCTTTGCTCAAAGAAATTTTAGGATGTTTTATTTGTATTTGTTTTAAGCACTAGAATATTTATGCAAAGTTTCAATCCATTTGGATAAACCCTCGAAGAAAAAAGTGACAAAATTGATTTTGACTAGGGTCGCCCCTAGTCCAAAATTGAAAATGTATTTCCTACTTGGTTCTTTGCTCAAAAACATTTTAAAATGTTTTATTTGTATTTGCTTTAAGCACTAGAATATTTATGCAAAGTTTCAATCCATTTGGATAGACCCTCGATTTTGATTTGATTTGAAAATTGATTTGGACTAGGGTCGCCCCTAGTCCAAAATTGAAAATGTATTTCCTACTTGGTTCTTTGCTCAAAAACATTTTAAAATGTTTTATTTGTATTTGTTTTAAGCACTAGAATATTTATGCAAAGTTT